GAAAATTTTTCACACAACTCGCTAAGTATGCGTCCTTGTGGTAATATCGAGATATAAAGTTCATTGGATCAAGCTTGATATTATAAAGTGCACAAATAGCATGTTGACATGGGATACCAATGAGATCCCATATCTTACACTTGTATTGCCTCCTATTGATAAACATGATATGCCTATCATTACCCTCACTCACTTCATATCCATTATCTCCCTTAAAATAAACTCTACACCATGAGGACAAAAGCTTATTGTCCTTATAGAAAGCCTATATACTTGGGGCTTAGGTTTCGTTTCCACCTCTCTAAAGTCTTATAAGTCTAAGCTACATATAAACTTCAACCTAATATCATCTACCATTCTTATGACAGCAAAATACCTAAAGTCATCTATCCAAGCATTAAAACTTTCACTATAATTGTTGTCAACAATCCAAGATAGGCATTGTGTAGTAAAAAAAGGCTCTTAATCCTAACTAGATGGGGGAAAAGACAACTATTGTTACCGTAACATCTTTACTTAAAGCTCCTAATGCCTTCAGGTTGTCTCTAAATTGCTCCTCAAAAGTGCTTCAAGCATAAGTAAAGAAAGTTTTCTTTAGTTGCCCTTATCTCTATCTCTTACTCCAATTTGCATATGTGCCTAGAACGTAATTTATGCTCAACTTCTAGCAACACATTTGAGACAGCAACATTCAATCCCTATATCAATTGTAAACATTAAAAAACTGATAGATCAAACAATAAAGCAATAAAATTTACACATAAAAAAAATCAAAGAACAAAATTTTTGCATGTCATACATAATTGTCGCATGTTCTCCATTCCCAAGGTCTAGTGATTTCATTGACCACTGGAAGAACCATTTGCAATTTATAGTATTTTCCTTTTGAGTGATTACAAAAGTTATCGAGTAAAATAAATTATTAGCATCAAGTCCAATTGCAGTGAGCATGATCCCTCTTGAAACATACATCATTTAATCCCTTTTTAGTATGAGTTTGGGAGAGATGCAGTTCAGGTGAATCATGAATTATACCCGTCCATTAAAATCTTACATTTTAATTCAAGGGTTACTATTCATTTAGTAATTCCAGATTTTTATCCAACTTTGATAACTAATTAGAGATATCGTATTAAGGTGATTCAAATCTCCATTCAAAGCTCTTTTCATTCTCTATAGGGAAAAAATACTCATTGATTCATTTTCTTGCTCATTTAATACAAAAAATATGTGAAGTGGTACTATTCATATGATCAAAACAGTACTTTACAATTTTTTTGCCCAATATTTGAACAATCATAACTCTTAATATGCATTTCCATTTGAGATGATCTACCCTCATTTTAAATCTGAGGATGTGTAATATTAAATCCTAAAATCTCATGGGTAAATTTGATCATTTTTCTTTTTGTTTATGCTGTCTCATATTTGATACTTTATGTTAGAATGATGATTCTCTTACTTTGAGTTAACATGCTATAAACATCTCTTTACATACATATAACCAATCTAACATCTCATAAATCATTCTCATGCTTTATCATCATTATCCTTGCTTGCAAATGTCACATCATTCATCATTACATGTCATTAATAGGCATATTTATACATATATCAACATATAGGGAGAATTATTACATAACATAACATAAGTAACGTTTCTTCAATTCTCACTTTTATTCTCTCAGTCCATGTCTTGCATTCCTCTTCTATACTTATAATATCTATTATGGTTAGTTAAGGGAGGATGAGATTTGAGAGAATCTCAGTAGCAAACAATTAGCACCAAAACATATATGACATAACTTGGTATTCATAACACGCTTGCAAAAATATTTTCATAACATAATGACATGTTTGGAAACTATCATGTATTAATCATAAAACACACAGGTCTATGGCATGCTTCAAATATTATTACATACACAATACATGAATTCATAAAGTCACATAAACATGGCAAACATATCATATATGTAAGCAAATACTAAGCATATAAAAGTAGGGTAAAGTTTGCTACTTTTAGCTTGTCACATTCTTTTTCTTGCTCCTTTTGCAGCCAACTTTTGAAGTTCCTCTATAAACCTTTCTATTTCTCTTATTTGATATCTCATGACCCTAAATATACTGACACATCATTTCCTTTTACTCATTAGAGCCATAGAAACAAATAACACTTCAAACATATCTCTTATTATATTTAACCCTTTAACCTTAACTTTTAATTTCAATATTTCTAAAATTATTTTCACATACTATTCCGTCATTCTTTTGCGTGTAGAATCCATTTCTAAGCTCAAATTAAACAAGATCCAATTTCTTCCCCATGAACTTCACTTGGCCTAAACACTATAGGGTTTAGGCTAAAATTTATTTTCAATTCTAGTGCTTCTAAATTTACTTTCCCACTTATGTCCTATATAATTTTTTTATTCTAAACACCTTGGAGGCATCAAAAGTATCAAAATTCAACCCTAAATTCACCCCTATATCTAGCTAGAATATTCACAAATTCGAGCTGAAGTTGGATTTATTCCAATTTCATCATAAAACCACTTGATTCTTATTCCTTTCTAGCCTTTAAATATGATTCTAACATCAATCAATCATTTCCATAACTTAAACACAGTTGAATAGCACATTCCCTTAGGTTTTAATGCTTCCAAAAACTCAACAAAGATCATAATCAAGCTTAACAAGACAGAGCAACTTAAACTATATCAAAAACCATAGCCATACCTTGTCTGGAAGCTTTGATCATTTATGGTTTCTTTCTTCTCCTTTCTTTGCTCTTCAATTTCGTGCTTCTCTACCTTAAGTCTCTCTTGGCCATCTAAACACATAAATATTAGGGGAAAAGGGGTATTCATAAAGGGTTGTTTGCCATTTTACCTTAGGGTTACTTCAAGTTACCATTACTAGATTACCTTGCCATATGCCTCTTGATTAAACTAGGTACTTCATAAGCTTGCCAAGTATCTAATGATCTTGCCTCATATCTCATGATCCTGCCATGTGTTCCTCTCTAAGTTCCTATGTGTTTTGGTTTACCTTGGAAGCTAACTTAAATATCTCTATTTATTCCTTTCTAATTTTTCCCTCTAGTAAATGCTAATATTCCATCATTACCCTCATGTAAAAATGGTGCCAAAATAGAAGGAAAATAGGGATAATTTTGTTCAAAATCAATCGCTAGGTCATTCCTCCATTAATCTTGCATTATTTTGCCATATTAGATACTTTTTTGTGTCCTAATTACTTCAATCGCACTAATATGTGCTATGTTATCCTTTTCTTGTAATTATTATTCTTTCCTTATCACAAATAATTTCATGTGATATAGTAATACCAAACATTAGGTGAGAGAAGCTCTTAGAGTTTTTATGCATAAAGGAAAACATCTAATTATTTAATTTTAGTGTAATTTTGACCGAATACTTTCTAATATTCCTTGGCTCTGAAAATTCATTCCTCTACATCATTCACTCCTTTTTACTGACAGAAATTTCTCAAACTTTTTTTAGGCTAAAACTCAACTTGTGATTTCTCTTTTAAAAATCTTTCGGATATTCCCCTTATTGTAAAATTCAGCTTTAAATTATTTTAAAACCAACCTCTTTACTTTTAAAGGTTGAGAATAATTTTACAATCTTACGTAATTTCTCAAATAATTAATTCTCATTTCTGTCTGATTGTTTGAGCCCTCCTTATATTTTAAATAATTTATTTTGTCTAATTTTTCCTTAATTAGCCAAAATTCCCATAATTAGCCAATTATTAAAAATCCATTCCTAGGACATTTTCATTATTTTTAACCTTAAATGGGCCTTACCACCTCATTTTTATTTTCTAAAATTTTTCTAGAATTTTCAAGCATACTTTGCATCATTACCCTTTTTACTCCGAAACCTTTCAAAATTACAATTAAGTCCTTCTTAGGGTTTAGCCTTAAGAATCATCCCTTTAAAGTTTCTAACATAATCTTTGGTCCATATTCATCCTCATTCCTCTTACTTGACCCCTCAAGGCTTCACTACAACCTCTAACTTCCCTGTCCGTTAGTCCCAGAAAACTTTCACTTTGTAATTTAGTGCATGAGAATCATTCTACCTTTTAGGGAATTTTTGGGACTTCTGCTAAAAAAAGTCTGATAGCTTGCTTACTTCAGGCTATTTCTTGCACTTCTAGGCCTAAAATTTAGAATGTTACACCTCTCGTATTTCCCTTAAGCTATGTGCCATCTACTCATTATTGGCCTATACCCCTGCTTCTTCCTAGTCTAACAACCTAAAAAATAACAAATCAAAACATTTATTAGTAGAAAAGTGTTTATCTTGGAACAAATAAACATACATTAAAGACATAGAAAAATAGATAGAATACAACATAAAAAATTTACCTTTGAGGTGTTGAAACACACAGAGTCTGCCAAAAACTCTTTTTTCATTCTCCAAAGCATCCTTGTTTATCTCAACAGTGACATCCAATCCAGGGTTAAAGCCCTTAACTCTTGATAATATACTTCAAGATTGTTAAATTCATCATAACTCTCCTCTATGTCTTGAATAATCAATCTTTTTACAAAATGCTCACATAAAGCTTGAACTCATCCTCAATGTCCTTCTTCATGTTAGCTATCTTATGTTGTGGCCTCTTGTGCATCTTTATCTTGAAGGAAAAAGCTAACCACTTCACTATAGCCCTCGAGTTATTGAAAACCTTTCCACAATTATGCTCAAAGCAAATAGTCTTTAATAAAAACCATAGGTCTAACCCATATTTTCAGACAAAAGGATGATCTTCTTCACACCAAGCCTTCACTCTAAATGACTCACTTTTAACAGATGAATATTCACTCCTAATTAAATGGCATACCTGTCAGTTGTTGTCACCAACTTGGCCTTATCAGCATAAGTTGAACCCTCCATGGAAAACAAGCCTCCTATTGGTAGTAGTTAGTACTTCATGGACTCTAACTTCTTACAGAGGCCCATCATCAGCTAGTTGTCTGCTTCCTCCTCTTCAACTTCCGTGTCATCTTCATCCTCATCCACTAATACTTCTTCTCCTCTCAGGCAAAAGTCTTCATCCTTACTATTAGAATCATCCCTCTCAAACTGACTCCCATTATGTTTACCCTCAGTCTCATGTTCACTATGCTCGTTCTTAGTCTCATGTTTACTATATTCCTTTTTGACCTCACTTCCTTTACTTAACCCATGATATTCTTTATTATCACACCCTGCCTTAATTATAAGACTAGATTGAGTATTTCTCTATTCCTCTTAACATTTTCTCAAATATTCTTGCTATTCCTGCTCCTTTTTCTCAATTTCTTCCTGAAATTCTTTCTATACCTTTCTATGGGTCCTATCAATTTCATCTATCTACTTTCTCATTCCACTCTATCTCCTCTAACTCTATAACAACACTCTTACCTTTATTATTTTCTTCATTTTGTTCAACTTCAATATTTTCACCCTTTATGTCATCAACCCTATATTTAGGAGATACCCTAGGTTTCTTCTTTTTCAACTCCCTCGCTAAAATAGTCGCAGAAATGGACTTGTTACCATCTGGAAGATGTGTTTGTTTTTTCTTCTACCACTTCCTTCATAGTATTAAACTCATTAAGTAAAGCTTCTAACCTTGACAGATTTCAGTATTGGGACTATTATCGGGTCCCCCATTCCTACAATCCAAAGCCATTAAACACTATCTCTATTAAGTTACTCTAACTGAACCATCACAGCAACACAACACACAAGTACAAACAAAGAGCTATTCTAATATTTCACTATGCAAACAAATGAACGAAAAAAAATTTAAATGAATCTCACTGTTATACTGCTAAAGATTCGATTTTTTACCTAAAAAGTGAGGACTAATCTAAACCTTGCCTCTACTATCTTGTCTATTCTAGTGCTCATCAGACCTCACATGCACACCAGAGCTTCTCTCTTTTACCCTAACTTTGAAGCTCTTGATGCCCTTTGACGATTGGGGCTTTCTCTTCTCTTTATGTTTTTTTCTCTCTTTTTATCCTCAAATTCCCCTTCTGATTCTCCAACTATAATTGCCACCTTCACAAAAGTCATCCATGTAACAACCATTTTCTATGCCATCATGTCTTTTCTTTGCCCAATTGTCAAACCAAACTGTATACCTTAGGGTTTTGTCAGATTTGATCGACATTGCTATATTTCTCATAATTCGAGGGTGACATTGCTGTAAAAAGTATTTCTGGATACCCACAGCTCATTTGTGAAAACTTTTGGGGTAAAAATGGACCTCAACTCAAAATTAATTTAGTAACTTCTTTAGTTCCCCAAATTAGTCAACTGAATCTTATATTAAAAATATGAAATAGTACATCACAAGAAAAGCACTCATCATGACCGTCAATCTTGTATCCTAGCTACAACATAAACATGATGGATAGATATACAATATAGAAAAGAACGATCTTAAATATAACAAGAGTAAGAAAAAATCTTCGAAATGCTCTGGGGACTGGACATAGGTCAAGTGGTTGGACTAAACCAACAGAATTTGCCTGTGTTCTTCTCTCTGACTACTCCTTTAGTGAAATCTTTCTAACTCTAGCAAATTTCATTTACATTATTATTTTTGAATCTTAAAATTTTTAATATCATCTAATTCACTCCCATCTTGGGTGCTCTATCAATCTAATAGGTAGATGAATATGACCACATATATCCCCTTGGATACATTCTAGAAATATAGGAGATTTAATCCCAACTTTTGTCAGTGAGAGCCTTGTAATTAATTTATCTTGAGAACAAGCAGTACATGAAAAATTTTTAAATTAAAGAATCTTCTAGCTCTTTAATGGTTGTCCATGTGAATTTTAATAATTCTTCGTATCATAGTTGATATGAGACGACCCAATCAGTCATGCCAAACAATAAATATGCTTTTATCAGCAAACTTTTGGTTTACTATTGCATTTATTTTGATTGTACCAATATTTGTATAGTAGAAATTTCAAGATAATGTAGGAAAATTTTCTAAGACACATTAAATCTAACCATTGTAATATGTAGGTATTCCATATTTTTCTCATTTATAGTCTCAATCTGATACCTATTTTGGCTGATATCCTTAAAACTTAATAAATTTCTTTGAGACTTAGAAGAATATAAAGCATCATTAATAACAAATTTTATCCCTGTTATAATTTCTCTTCCAAAGAATTTAATTATTTTTGTGTTACCCTCTATATTGTTGATGCTTGCACTACTCATTATTAAGTGAGAAAAATAATTTTTATCTTTGAGTATGTTGTGTGTTGTAGCACTATCTATGAGGCATATATCTTTATTCTTGTGTCCAACAAAAAGAGGAGAAACATCCATATTCTTTACCAAAAGAAAAGAAATGCATTAAAATAAATTTCAAGTATATCATGAGTAATAATGCTCTTAAATAAAGAAAGTAAACATAAGTAAAGCAAAAATAAGACAAACTAAATTGTTTCTTTATCAAGAGTTTTCTAAACTAAATTAGAAAGCGTAAATAAGACAAATTAAAACGTTTCTTTATCAAAAATTTTCTAATCATGATTCTCAAAGAAATTAGCTACCTCCAAGTGTGCTATAGTGTCAAGGCTATTAACATCATCTAGCTTATTGACATCATCATTCTTATATGCAAAATTTGCCTGCACATTATTAGTTTGAAAAGTCAAATTTGTTTCTACATTATTTGATCTCCTTTTTAGGGAGGCTTGATAAAGTTTTGCTAGATGCTCAAGCATATCACAAGTATGTGACTAATGTCCTTTCATACCATACCAGTAACATTGATTTTCAACTACTTTTGAGGGGGATCTATCACCAAGTTTTCTCTTCTGGTGGGTATTTGGGTTATGATTGTTACATCTACTACTATGATAATGGTAATTAGTTTGTCCCCTACCACGACCATTGCTGATGCACATGATAATTATTGCGTATAGTCACATTTGCTTTAGGGAATGGAGCTAATTGGAGAGGACAAATTTCATGATTTGTTTTAATCAACAACTCATTGTTTTGTTCAACCATAAGAAGACATGAGTTTAATTTAGACTATTTCTTAAAACCTTTTTCATGATACTGCTACTATAGAAGCACATTTGAAGTAAGAAAAGTCAAAAAGGTTTTTTTCTAATAAATTCTCATTTGTTATTTTCTCACCATATAGTCTCAATTAAGAACTTTTTTTAAAAACTGCTTAATTATATTCAGTCACAATTTTAAAATCTTGGAGACTAAAATACATCCATTCATAACAAGCTTTAAGAAAGATTATCATTTTTTGATGATCATACCTTTCTTAGCTTTCAAGTTATTTCATAATTTTAATAGAACTTTCATGGTTAGTTATTCAGCTTTTGACCCTTCATGTAAATTATGGAAAAGGAAAATCATGACATTAGCATTGTCTTTGCTAGTTGCTTTATTTTTTAATACAATAGCATTTCCTAGGCCCTTGTCATCTAGGTGAATTTTAACATCTAAGACCCAAGACAAATAATTTTTCCGATACTATCAAGGGCTGTGAACTTGAGTTTGGTGAGATTGGCTATGGATTCAACTAAAATGATTATAACTAAAATTAGAAGTATGATGAAATTGATGAACAATGAAACGTAAGAAATAAAATATTAGGATTTAAAAGTCACTCATATATAAATTATACCTTCAAAATTATACAGGAAGAATTATAAAACATGAGGAATAATAAATAAACACATGCTTTATCAAATAAATAAATAAATAAACACATATGAACATTAGCAATGTATATAAATATATTTAGAGGAAGGGGGATTGCACATAAATGTTACAGTAAACTAATATAAATAAATATTCATTTATCATATATAAATATTAAAAATCTAAATTAAGACAAAAACTGCTGCAATGAAATAAATTAAGTAAATACCAATTCATAATGAAATATAAACAATAAATAAACCTATAATTATATTGATTACATTATATAATCATATATAATACTATTAGGTATTATATTATAAATAAATCATAGAAATAGCATATATAAACAACACAATGTAAACAAATATAATGAGAGAAAGAAAAAAATATAAAAAGTATATATTATATGTATAGTATAAATTATTTGTATATGAGAATTAGTACAACACAAATAATACTATGAAATAACAACATAGATACTAAGTGAAGATGATACATAAATTGTGTAAATTGTAAATGAACATAAATAACATAATATTTTACGATAGAACAACATCATAAAATAACTCAAGATGAGAATTGAATGATAGCATAATATAAAACACAAAAAGACGAAAAATAAAATAACATAATATAACATCAAAGACAAGATAAAATATAAAATGTAATAGCAAAATTAAAATGTATAGAAAAACCAATAGAATAAAAACAACATCATAATATAAAACATGATAATTGAGTAAGGAGATAATATAAAATTAATATGTAGCAATTGTATAGAAAATTAAAATTATGCATGATGATTACGTAAGGAGATAAATGAATGATAGAAAGAATGCAGTATCTTATAAAGAGTTTATACCTCAAATTTTCGAAGTAAAGTCATGTTGATAACATGTTATGAAAGTAATTAAGAAAATTAAAGTTAGAAAAGAGAATAGAAGCACAAGAAATTGAGTGAGAAATCAAGAGAGAAATTCTCATTCACTCACGTATACAAATGCTTGTACATGGCTTTTATTTATAGGCTCCTCGCTATTAATCCTAACTCTAATGTTATAATAGAATAAAGAAAAATATAATGGCATTAACCATAAAAAATCCTCCCAAGTTATTCAATGGGGAGGTCATGGGTTTAGGACATTCAAGGCTTAAAGAATCCTAAGAGGAATTGTAATACCTTATCTTTACACCCAATAGCGCATCAAATGGGAGTATTTGAACAACAAATGTTGGCCACAAGGCTTGAAAATTTAGTTTTCAAAAAATTGTCCTTGGGTTACTATTCATAGCAACATTCAAAATTTTAGCCATCTTTGAAAAATCATAGTTAAATCTAGAAAAATTAAAATGAAGTGGTTCTAAGTTCTATTTGAAGCTTCCAGAGAGATCTTTAAAAGAAAAATACTTCCAAGTTATGATTCCCTCTCATACGTGTCCAGTTTTCATGCAAAATGCATTGTTCATTTGGTGAATTTTCTAATTTTTTTAGAATTTATGTCTAACTTTGGAAAGGCAGAACTTTCTGCATAAAACTCCAACTTTAACCTTCTACCACTCATTTTAAAGCTTAAAATGATATCTATCAACCTACCAAATTTTGTAATCAAACTCTTCCATTTTCTCAACTTCATGTAATTTCCAAGTTTGGCCCTTATTTAGTCCGTTTTATCCTCTTTGTAAGTCATTACTTGGAAGTACATGTCCTGTCAACTCATTCTGGTAATTTTCAAACATAACATTAACTCAACATATTCTAGCAATATTTTACAGCAAAATAGGGTCATTATGTCATATGTAACACCTTCACTTTTTACTAAATAACTATCAATTAAAGGTAAATGGAATCACATTTGATGGCCAAAAGTTTGAAAAAATGACTTTGAAAATTTTTGCTCACGGGTTAACCCATAAGTTGGCAAAACTTTAAAAATTCATAATTAATTTTAGAAAAATTAAAATTGAGGGATTCTAAGTTCTATTGGAAGCTCTTTGGATTATATTTTGAGAAAAATAAGCTCTAAACAAATTGTTTTCAAATTTGAGCCTAGTTTTAATTTTAAAAAATACTGTTCATTTGATTATTTTCTAATTTTTTCAGTATTTTTGTTTAACTTTGGATAAGCAAAACTTCTTGCACGGTTAAGGTCTATTGATCTACAAAGTTTCATGAATTATCTCACACAATTGCTCAGATTCTTAGCGGTCAAAACTTTCCTCTCAATGGTTGACTTTTATCCTTAACTCCTCATTCTTTCCATGAATAAATCTCTAGCTTGGCATACCAATTAATCCACCACATAATTGATTTCCACAGCATACTTTAGCATATAATAGCATAAAGTTTTCACATAAGTCATTCACAAAATATTTGTTTACATTCATCCACATAAATGCATGAAATGGTTAGAACCATAAAGTGTTATTGTAAACATAAATTCTTCATGCATTGGCCACCTCCTTGCCCTTTTGTTGTGATGATAAAGACCCTAAGTTTTTGTTAAACATGGGGTAAGATCCATAGGACTCTTAGTAGCATAACACCATATTCATAATATCACAAAAGCAAAGCATTTTATGCTAAATGAATTTGCTAACACATGCTTTTACTTAATGCACATGCTATGGAAAGAACATAACACACTTCTCATTCATAACACTCAACATAGCATAAGCCAAGGCATTATATGCATAGAGTTATTCATCACATAATATCATCATCTCATCCACATCATGTCATAGCAACATAGCATAACATAAAGCAATAAATACAATGCAAGGCAACATTTATAGAGTAAATATCAACTACCTCTTTCAAACTTTTTCGTTTCCTTCAAGCTCTTTCTCCTTTAGGCAACTTTCTTTTCTTTTGATGCTAGGTATTGATAGTACAATAGGGCATCATCAATTATTATTTCATCCTGTAAAGATATGAAAAGATATGTAAATATTATGTAATCAGTATAGGATTTGATATGATATTATTATGGAATTAGTATAGGATTTGATATGATATTATTTCCTCATAATGAGCCATTAATGCATAGGCTCCTCTCTTATATATATATATATATGCATAGTCTGATCATGCATAATACAAGGAATTATTTCATAATTCTCTTTAGAATTAACATGGTATCAGAGCCAGTTGTGATGGTGAAATGACACAATATACAAGAAGATCATCCTCCTCCGCAGGTGAAGCAAATGTTGGAGAAGGAGAGAAGTATGGCGTGGACTCTTGAAAGGTGACATCTGCAGAAACTAAATACAAATTAAGGTTAGAGGAAAACATCGATAACCTTTCTAAACCCAGTTATACCCTAAAAAGACACATTTAAGAGACTTAGGATATAATTTCAAGATAGAGGGCCGTACATCTCGAACAAAACAGACACAACCAAAGATCTTAGGAGAAATGGGTAGCAAAGGCTTAGAAGAAAAAAGAGTAGTGTAAGGAATGTTACCATCAAGAATAAAGGAAGGCATTGTATTAATGAGGAAGCACGTAGTAGAGACTGCGTCAACCCAAAATGATTTTGGAACCTTCATTTAAAAAAAGTGCCTATGCTACTTCAAGTAAATAACAATTTTTTCTTTCCGCAACACCATTTTGATCTGGTGTATCAACACAGCAAGACTGATGGAGTATGCCATTTTGAAGCATATAAGATTGAAATGAAGCAGAGAGATATTCTTTAGCATTATTATTTTGTAAGGTATGAATAGAAACATTAAATTAAGTTTTAATCTCAGCACAAAAGGCACAAAAACAAGAAAAATATTCAAAACAATTATTCATTAAATATAACCAAGTTATATAGGAATAATTATCAATAAATATAACAAAGTATTTAAAACCTGCTTTAGATTCAATAGAACAAGGATCCCAAACATTAGAATGAACTAACTCAAAAGGAGATGAAACCTGTTTATTGACTCGAGACATTAAGGGAAGATGATGATATCTGCCAAATTGACATGTCTCATAATCTAAAGACGACAAATGCTTCAACGAAGGATAAATCCTCTTAAGAGAAGATAAAGACAAATGACCCAAACGGTAATGAGCTTCAAAAAGAGCATGACTACTGGAACACCTTAACTTTTCACCAAATTACCAATTAGAGGTAATTAGAATCACATTTGATGGCCAAAAGTTTGAACAACCGGGCATTGAAAAATTTTGCTCACAGGTTACTATTCACAGCAACTCATAAATTAGCCAAACTTTGAAAATTCATTAGTAATTGTAGAAAAATCAAAATCAAGTGATTCTAAGTTCTATTGGAAACTCTTTAGATTAGCTTTTGATAAAAAAAAAAGCACTAGATGAATTGTCTTCAAATTCAAGCCCAGATTTAACTTCAAAAAGTACTCTTCATTTAGTCATTTTCCAGTTTTTCCAGCATTTTGCCTAACTTTGGATAAGTATAATTTCTTGCATGGTTATCTGTTTAACGCATATTACTACTCATTTTAAAGGGAAAAATATGATCTATTGATTTGGAAAGTTTCATAAATTAACTCCCTCAATTGCTCTGATTCATGTCGGTTAAACCTTCCTCCCAAACGGTTAACTTTTTGTCCCTAACTATCAATTATTTCCATAATTATATCTCTAACTTGGTATGCTAATTAAGCACTTACATAGTTTATTTTAATAGCATACTTCAACATATGATTGCGTAAAGTAGTCATGGGATCATCACAAAATATTTAGTTACACTCATTCTCAAAACACATGAAATGATTCAAGATCATAAAGTGCCATTACAGTTAAAATTCCTTCATATATTGACCATCTCTATACCTTTTCCTTTTGATGTTGAAGGCCTTAGGTTTTTGTTAAACAAGGGGATAAGATTCATGGGAATCTTAGTAGCATAGAACTACATTCATAATCTCAACCAAGTAAAGCATTTATGCTAAATGAACTTACTAATGCATACTTTCACTTAATGCGTATACCATGGAAAGGATATAACATACTTCTCATTCATAACACTCAACATAGCATAGGTCAAGGCATTACATGCATGGAGTTGTACATCACATAACATCATCATCTCATCCACATCATGGCATAGCAATATGGCATAACATAAAGCAATAAACACAATGTAAGGCAACATTAGATGATAATTGTTAGCTACTTCTTTCAAGCCTTATCCTTTCCTTCAAGCTCTTACTCTCATGAACAAATATTCTTCCCTTGGGATGCTAGGCCTATTGATGATGCAATATGACATTACCATTCATTAATTATCCAAAACATTAACCAAATAACCTTTAAACCCCTTTTCTTTGATTTTTAGGTTATTACTTACAACTTTGATTCTTTAAATCTCTTGGCCTATTTTTACATAATTTTTCATGTAAAATTCAAATATCCACTTAAATTTGTGACAATCCAATCAATCCCTAAAGATCTCACTTTGGCCGAATAGGGGTCCTTGGGAAAACCAAATGTTTATTTTCAATTTTAATGCTTTCAAGCTTCCTTTCTTGGTATTTCCCTACACTGTTTCATCATTTAAACACATTGGAAGCATTAAATTGAATCAAATCCAACTCTAAATCCATTCTCCATCCTTGGCCGAAATGAAATATTAATCATAGGGGTTGGATTTTCTTTCCAAAACTCACTCAAAACCAATCAAATCCTATCCTTTTCAAGTGTCTAATCTATGTTTCAAACCCTTGATTAAACCCTTCCTAATTTTTAAAATTTGGGCAGCATCTCCCCATGAAAAATGGCCATCCAAATCAAGATAAATTTTATAAAAAAAGCTCACAATAAATCACAAAAAAGTTTAGAAGCTTACCTTAATAATTTCTTGAACTTAGGTGAACTTTCTCTCACTAGAAATAGCTCTTTCTCTCTCTAAACTCAAGAGCAACATAATCTCCCTTAGGATTCCTTGTTTGGCCGAAATTGTGAGGGGGGTTGGAGGCTATTTATAAGCCAAGCATTAACCATTTGCCATCCAAGTTCAAAGGAATTATAATGATGATATGTCAAGCTAAGCTCCCTTCTTACATTTTCTCTTTCCTTTATTTAGTTCCAAATGAAATAAATTTTACAAGTCAAAATCCTTTCCACCCCTAACTTGACAAATGGCACAATGAGAGCAAAGTAAAAGGGTGTGCACTTTTCACCTGTTTCAGCATCCTTTTGATACTAAAATAGCTCTGTCTTGTTCTATATCAGTGATCTGAGCTTCCTAAGTAATTTCTGTCAGATCCTTAACATTTCCTTGTCAATTTTTCCTTCCTAAAGAGCCCTTCTTTGCTCCCATAATGAATTTGTATCATTAAAAAAAAAAGAAAACCAATTTTCTTACTATATTAGTTTTCTTGTTCAAGAGTTATTTTTTCGGGTCTTTGGGCTCATTAAAACTTTTCTAATTATTTTATAACCTTTTATTAATCTCATAGAAGTTTTTTGAATTTTCTTGGGATTTTCCTAGCCTCATAATTATTTATTTAGAATTTTTCCAAATAAAACCCTAATTAGCATAATTAGACTTTAAATTCCTTTAAAAATTAACTAGGGGGTATTTTGGGAATAAAACTAATTGTACAATGTCTTATAATTCTCAAGACACTTTATCCTTATTTTTTCTTAATTTTTTAAGGCTCAAAACCATTTTTCATAATTAATTTTTGACCAATTTTTCTTAATTAGTCAATGTTCAATAATTACTGAAAATTCAATAATTATTGTTTTTTATCATAATTTCAACTTTTAAGCCTCGACTACTGTTCAGGGACCTTTTCTCTACCTTTCATAATTATTTGCTAAATTTTAGAAATTTCTAACATATTTTTCCAAAATGTCCATATTTCATTCAACTATTTTGGCCCTTAAATGTCTTGGGACTTTCTTACTCTTAGTGTTAAGATTTTTAGGATGTTACATTTTCTCCCCACTTAAAATAAATTTTGTCTTCAAAATTTAGCATATACCTTATGTGAAGAGCTTTGGATACTTGCTCCTCATCTTGTCTTCCTTCTCCCTCGTGGCTTCTTCGAAGTTTGCATCCTTCCAGATCATTTTAATCAGTAGAATCGCCTTGTTTCTCAGCTGTTTGACCTTTTGATCCACTATCTGCTCTGGCCGTACCTCAATTGACAGATTGTCCTTTAACTCAATCTGATCAGGTTCCATCACATGATCGGGATCTAGATGGTACTTCTTTAACCGGAAAATGTGGAAGATGTTGTGTAATTGACTTAAATTTGGGGATAGTGTTAGTCTATAGGCTACTGGTCCAACTTGAGAGAGTATCTCAAATGGTCCTACATGACAACAACCCATAAATTAGCCAAACTTTAAATATCCGTAAGTAATTGTAGAAAAATTGAAATTAAGTGATTCCAAGTTCTATTAGAAGCTCTTTGGATTACTTTTGAGGAAAAATAAGCTCTGTATGAATTGTCTTCAAATTCATGCTCAGATTTCACTTCAAAAAATACTGTTTATTTGGTCACTTTCCAGTTTTTTCAGCATTTTTGCCTAACTTTGGATAGGCATAACTTCTTGCACAGTTATTCGTTTAAGGTATATTACCACTCATTTTAAAGGGAAAAATATGATCTATTGATCTCAAAAGTTTTGTGAATTAAATCCCTCAATTGCTTGGATTCACATTGGTCAAATCTTCCTCCCAAATGGTTGACTTTTGTCCCTAACTATCAATTATTTCCATAATTATTTCTTTAACTTGGTATGCTAATTAAGCACTTACATAGTTGATTTTAATAGCATACTTCAATGTATGATTGCATAAAGTAGTCATAGGATCATCACAAAATATTTAGTTACATTCATCTCAAAACGCATGAAATGATTCAAGATCATAAAATGCCATTGCAATTAAAGTTCCTTTATACATTGACCATCTCCGTGGCCTTTCCTTTTGATGTTGAAGGCCCTAGGTTTTTGTTAAATATGGGGGGTAAGATTCTTGAGAATCTTAGTAGCATAGCACCACATTCATAATGTCAATCAAGTAAAGCATCTATGCTAAATGAACTTGCTAATGCATACTTTTATTTAATGCATATACCAAGGAAAGGACATAACATACTTCTCATTCATAACACTCAACATAGCATAAGCCACAACATTACATGCATGGAGTTGTACATCACATAACAACATCATCATCTCATCCACATCACAGCATAACAAAACATAAAGCAATAAACACAATGTAAATCAACATTAGATGATAATTACTAGCTACTTCTTTCAAGCTTTATCTTTTCCTTTAATCTCTTCCTTTCTTAAGAAAATCTTCTTCTTAGTGGCAGCTTCACCCAAAAGGGAGTGAATTGGGTGAGTTATAAAAATTTTAACGTAATAAAACGGTGAGGTAAGTAAAATAGAGGAGATTAAGTTAGGAAGATTTCACTGCAAAACGAAGATACAGGATTTATATCAGTTCAGTCTCAACCACTTGACCTACGTCTAGTCCTCAGAACACCTCTAAGATTTGCACTATATTCCCCAGATTCAACGGGCTCTTGGTGCCTCAGTACAGTAATTGATATTCTCAATCACTCCTCTTACTACCGGTAAGATTACAATCCCCTCAAGAGTCGACACTCTTGAGTTACTCTCAGAAAATGAGTAAAGAAAGGTGTATCAAACTCTCTTATAGAGTAAATAAATATTAAACACTGAAGCTTAATGAAAAATAGAGTATTGAATGTAGCAGTAAATGTTTCAACAAATGGTAGCTTGCGTATTCAATTCTTCATTCAATGCCCTTCTCGCCTTTTATAGTTGGAGAAGTTTAATTAACCGTTAGACTAAAGAGCTTCTAGCCATTGGAACATCAGTTGCGTATGTTCGACAGTTACAACAGTAGTTCATCATTAATGCTTCTGACATAGTAGGTTAAAGGCTACTAAATAACTGTTGAGTTTCGCAATCTGTAACAGCTTTTGAAACAAGTAAGTCCTTTTTTTGAAGAACAATTATTAAGATAACAAAATAAGTTGATCAATGTCTTGATCAATGACTGGTTGATCAATCAAGTTATCAATTAAATATAAGGAAAAAAGATTGAATCAGACATGTATATTTATCAATAAGATTATGGATCAGCAGATGATCGAACAGGTGATCGATAAATGGTAAGAAATGAATACAGTGACTTCTAAAAAGATTATGCACGAATAAACTTTAAAGTTAACCTTGCCTTTGAATCCTTTGAAAAGAGAGTTAAGTCTAACAGGAAGGCTGAGAAAAGCTTGAAGATAGAGAGATAGAAGATTTTGAAAACATCGTGTATTGTTGTTATTAAATGAACCGGTTCAATGATCAAACAACTGATTAAATACTATTTGATCAATCACACTATTGATAAAACTAAGTATAAGATAAATATATTTTCAAAAGATGTTGATTAAATACTTTATCAATAAAGGGTTGATAGGAGAAATGATTGGTAAAAAATTTCAAAGAGATTTTCACAGTGGAAGTACCGAATATATGATGATCGAGCAAATGATTGATTAATGATTAATCGATTAAGTGATCGATAAATAATCATTGAAATCTTATCTTAGACAAGACCAGGAAAAACTTTGATCAATCACATTATGTGAAAATAGAAGCTTCAGATGATTGAATGATCGATCATTTTATCAATAAATGAATGATCAATGAGGTGATCTGAAGATGGCTTAAAACAAATAAGTGTAGTGAAGGTGATGATGATCAATCATTTGATCCATAAATGAATGATCGATTAAAGATCTTGACAGAATACTTGAACATAGCACATTATCGATAAAACCAGTATTATTATGCAATGTTAGAATAGGTTATTGATTAATGTCTGATCGATAAAGTGATCGATAAATGGTGAATTAAATAGAACAAAAAGCAAGTATAAAGAATTTACCATTTATCTGTATTCTTATTGATAACTCGTTGATCAATTAGGTGATCGATAAGTGCTTACCAGAATTGCATGAATTTTTCTGACAGTTGATTGAACATTAGATTATTGATCAATTGATCGATAATTTTCTGCAAACTTCTACATTAAACAGTGTTAATGATGATTAATCAAATGATCAATCAACTCATAAATTGTGAATTATCTATCAAGTTATCAATCAACTTAGTGCTAAGTTACTAACATATAGAGATATTTTGTCTGATACATGATCGATTAACCTTTGATTGATCAAGTGCTCGATCAACTAATTAAACCAGAGATAACTTAATTTGTTAACGTCAAAACCTTAAATCTAATACTTCCTCCCTTTGGATGCTAGGCCTATTGATAATGCAATAGGACATTACCATTCATTGCTTATCTAAAACATTAACCAAATAACCCTTAAACCCTTTTCTTTGATTTTTAGTTTATTACTTACAACTTTAATTCATTAAATCTCTTAGGCTACTTCTACATAATTTTTCATGTAGAATTCAAATATTTATTTGTATTTATGAAAATCTAATCCCTCCTTAAAGATTTCACTTTGGCCGAATAGGGGTCCTTGGGAAAGCAACATTTTCATTTTCAATTTTAATGCTTCCAAGCTTCCTTTCTTGGTGTTTCCCTATACCATTTCATCATTTAAACACACTAGAAGTATCAAATTGAATCAAATCCAACTCTAACCCTATTCTTTCTCCTTGGTCAAAATGAATTATTAATCATAGGGGTTGGGCAGCATTTTCAAGTGTTTTCAATCATTTTCAAGTGTTTATTCTATGTTTCAAACCCTTGATTAAACCCTTCCTAATTTTCAAAAATTTGGGCAGCATCTCCCCATAAAAAATGGCCATCCAAATCAATATAAAATGATATAAAAATAGCCCACAATAAATCATAATAAGTTTAGAAGCTTACCTTACTAATTTCTTAAATTTAGGTAGACTTTCTCTCACTAGAAATAGCTCTTTCTCTCTCTGATTGAGGCCGGATTATCGCCTTTCAGATCATCAAGAAAGTGAGTTTCACCAGAAAAATGCAGTATAGGATGCAACCAGTCATTCTTCTCGAGGAGCTTGTTATTAGAAATCCCAGTCTAAGTTGGTTTTCAAAAGCATTGTAAATTTGAGTGACTAAAAAGGGGGTTTTAGTTGTTTTAAAGGTGGTGCAACAAATGTAAAGTGTAAAAAGTTAACTATTTTTAGTATTTTAAATGAATGAAGAAATGTTTTGCATTAAAAGGAGATTATGGTTAAACAGTCTCTTGATAATGAAAACTCAGCTATCACTGCTCTTTAAAATGATTGGGAGTTTTAGAAACCTCTAAATCTGAAGACAACCCCAAGTAATCACTTGGCTCCAATATCTTAATTAATGAAAACTCACTTTAATCAAAGTTAATTAACATCTTTTAAGACACTACCGAAAACCACTTAGAGTGTAGATGAACAGATGATGCTAATGCCCTCTGAATGTCAATCGACAAAACACAGAATACCAAACACACAAATTAATCAACAATAACCACTGAAAATCAAACTGAACACAAGGATTCAAACTAAAATATTATATAGATTAATCAACATTAACATCATCCAATCCAAATACAATAAAATAGTCTAAACACCAGATTTACAATCATAAATTAAGTTTGATACAAGTACAGAAAGTTCCTAAATCTAGAAATATTCAAAACAGCATTAAACATAGGTTTAGACTATTAAAAAACTCTACGATTAAGTCATTGAGCTAAAGCTTCATTCTCCATCACCAAGAGGCTAAGGGGTTTAGTCTCTCATGCCTTCAAACCAATTGCAATCGCTCTAGGAATGAATAACTATGGTTAAAGCTAAAAATAAAGTTGAAAAAATGGGGAAGAAGGTGGTTGGAGTGGTTTGATCGGTCCAAAAATACAGAAAATGATGACGAGATGAAGAAAAATAGAAGTTTTGGGTATAGGATCAATGGAGACTTGAGAGGAAATAATGGTGGCTCAACCTTGTGCAAATCTGTAGAATGGTAGAGTGTCTTTTCGTGGTGGCTGCCCTCCTTAGGTATAGAAGCTCAGAAACCTATTCCAAAATGCACAGCTTCACTTAACGCACTCAGGTCGCGACCTCAGGAGTGTTATGTCGCGACCTGAGAAGAAAAAGAGCTTTCATCTTGACTCAGGTCCAAAACGTGTAGTTTTATTAAAAGGGCATCCAGGTTACGACCTCAGAAGTCCATGTCGTGACCTGATGAGGCAGAAAACTCCAAACTCGTGTTTTGGTCCTTGTAACATTTTGGCTCCATCCATGCTTCATCTTGGTTCTTAGGTCCTTCTCCAATTGCCTGAAAATCATAACAGAGTGCTTTGTAAAGACTAACTTATTACAGATCAAGGCAATTAAAATTGAAAAGAGAAAAATGACCCTTTTTACCCCTTAAACAGCAAAATGCAGTGTATGACTCAATGTAATCAATTGGATATAAATGCATGCATAATGAGGGTAAAATTGTTGCAAAACATTAGAAAATACTTAAGAAAACCATATAAAGATTGGGTTCTATCACTCTCTAAACTCAAGAGCAACATAATCTCCCTTAGGATTCCTTGTTTGGCTAAAATTGTGAGCGGGTTGGAGGCTATTTATACGCCAAGCATTAACCATTTGCTATCCAAGTTCAAAGAGGAATTACAATGATGATGTGTCAAGCTAAGCTTCCTTCTTGCATTTTCTCTTTCCTTTATTTAATTCCAAATGAAATAAATTTTAAAAATCAAAATCCTCTCCACTATAGCTTGACAAGTGGCACAATGAGAGTTAATTAAAAAGGTGTGTACTTTTTACCTTTTTCAGTACCCTTTTAATACTAAAATAGCTCTGGTTTTTTCTATATCAGTGATCTGAGCTTTCTAATTAATTTTTGTCAGATCCTTAACATTTCCTTATCAATTTTCCCTTACTAAAGAGCCCTCCTTTGCTCTCATAATGAATTTGTATCATTAAAGGAAAAGAAAACCAATTTTCTTACTATATTAGTTTTCTTACTTGGGAGTTACTTTTTTAGGTCTCTGGGCTTATTAAAACTTTCTTAATTATTTCATAAACTCTTATTAATCTCATAGAAGTTTCATGAATTTTCTTGGGATTTTCATAGCCTAATAGTATTTATTTGGAATTTTCCTGAATAAAATCCCAATTAGCATAATTGGAATTTAAATTCCAATTATGCTAACCAAGGGTATTTTGGAAATAAAATCACTTGTACAATGTCTTATAATTCTCAACACACTTTGTCCTTATTTTTTCTTAATTTTTTAAGACTCAAAACTATTTTCTATAATTAATTTTTGACCGATTTTTCTTAATTAGCATTATTACCTGCTGTAGCAATAACACTCACAGGTGCACCCATAGATAGGGTGGTAGATTTCAACTGGGCATACTCAACTACAGAAATCATAACCTTATCATCAACTTGCGCAGCCATAGGTGCAGAGTTATTTCTTTGTTGTTTGTTTTGAAGCTTATGACAAGTACATTTTGTATGGCTTGATAGAAAGCCTTACAAACTTCTTAAACACGAGAGATATTTCCCTTGTCTGAATACAAGAAATATAAATAGTCCATTAGTTCCTTAACAAACTCACAGTGATTAACACAGAGAATAATCTCATTGTCAATAGAATTATGGATCTAGAAAAATAATCGTGCATCATCTCGTAACCATGCTTGGTGTGAATTAGTCATTGGAGGATCATTCTTCAAATGATCTTCCTTTTCAATACTTTGTAGATAGAGTCGAATAGTTTTACTCCACACCAAGTAGTTAGTCCAAGTCAACTGATGATTAGTAATTTTAGTAAAATTAAGAACCATCTCAGAAATTGATTCAATTTCAGTCATAATTATAATATTCAACAAAAATCATAGAAAGGGGACATATGACTAAAGTGCCACACTAGGGGCAAATAAGTTACCAAATCGTAGAAACCGATTCCCTCGATGATGAGAAGAGAAAACTTGAGGCTGAGAAGAGCAAACCATTCGAGAGTTCAGAGAGATACAGGCATTGATTGGCAAGTTGAACTATCTCACTGTGACTCACCCATACATCACTTATCCAATCAGTGTGCTTAGCCAGTTCATGGCATCTCCAATTGTTAGATAGTGGGAAGCCTTGGAGCACATTCTACATTACTTGAAGGGATGTTCAGGTCATGGTATACTGTACAAAAATCATGGTCATACAGACATTGAGTGCTTTTGTGATGCAGATCATAGTGATTCAAAAGCCATGAGACAATCTACTACATGATACTGTATCTTTATGGGTGAAAATTTGGTGTCTTGGAGAAGCAAGAAGCAAAATGTGGTATCTCGGTCAGGTACAGAGGCAAAATACTGAGCTATGGCACAATCCGTATGTGAGATAGTTTGGATATACCCATTACTAAAGTAAGTTAGTCTCAAAACCACATTACTCGTAAAACTATGATGTGATAATAAGGTTGCTCTACACATTGCCTCTAACTCCGTGTTTCATGAATGTACAAAGCATATTGAGATCGACTATGACTTTGTTTGAGACAAGCTCAAAGAAAATTTTATTTCTACTAGACATGTGAGGTCTAGTGATCAATTGGGCGAGTTGCTTACTAAAGCTCTGAATAGGACCCAGGTTGACTATTTTTGTAACAAGTTAGGCATGATTAACATATATGCTCCAAATTAAGGGGGAGTGTAAGAATATGAGAAGATGTGTAAATAATACTACCTCCGGTCCTTAATATAAGACCCTGTTTGACTTGTATTTTGGTCCTAAATATAAGATCCCAATCCACTTTGTCTCTCATATTTATACATTTTTTCCAAAGTAACCCTTCTAACAATGATAGTTCTAGTCAATACACTTGATTAGCAAGGATATTTTAGGAAAGACAACACCTATTTAGAACAAATAACTAATTTAACTTACTTTCTTAATCTCCTAAAATTAGTCAACTGGCTCTTATAATTAGGACTTGAGGTAGTATGCAATTAGTATGGGATTTAATACGATATTATTATGCAATTAGTATAAGATTTGATATCATATTATTTCCTTATAATGAGCCATTAATGCATAGGCTCCTCTCTCTTATATATATATGCATAGTTTGATTATGAATAATACAAGAAATTATTTCACAATTTCTTTAGAATTAACACATCCAAAACATTAATCAAATAACCCTTAAACACGTTTTCTTTGATTTTTGGGTTATTACTTACAACTTTAATTCTTTAAATCTCTTGGGCCATTTTATATAATTTTTTATGTAGAATTCAAATATCCACTTAGATTTATGAAACTCCAATTCCTTCTTAAAGAACTTGGTTTGGTCGAAACATATACCATTGGAAATCAAAATTTTTATTTTTAATTTTAATGCTTCCAAGCTTCCTTTCTTGGTGTTTTCCTACACCATTTCATCATTTAAACACTTTTGAAGCATCAAATTAAATTGAATCCAATTGTAACCCCAATTTCTTCTTTTCTCCGAATTGATGCTTTAACATAGGGGTTGGATTTTCTTTCCAAAACTCAATCAAAACCAATCAAATCCTATCCTTTTGAAGTGTTTATTCAAGGTTTCAAATCCTTAGCTAAAATCTTCCAATTTTTCAAAATTTTTGGCAGAATTTTTTCTTAGAAAATGGCCATCCAAATTAACATAAAATCACATAAAAACAGCCCACAATTAATCACAAAAAGGTTAGGAGCCTACGTTAGTGATTCCTTGAACTTAGGTGGACTTTCTCTCTCTTGAATTAGCCTTTTCTCTCTCCAAACTCAAGAGAAACATAACCTCCCTTAGATTCTCTTCTTGGCTGAAAATTTGAGGGGGAGAAGGGCTATTTATAATGTTTCAAATAACTCCTAACCCTTGAAGTTGGAAGGAATCACAAGATATAAGTGGTAAGATCTTAGCCCTAGATTTTTATCACTTTACACATGGATAAATCTTAAGGTAGGAAGCTTGTGATCTTACCACTTGTCCATGTGATGTCATTAGGATGATGTCACCTTGCTTATGTCATGCTAAGATTACCACACATTAACATTGGTTAATTTTCTTAATTCAAGATTAACTTTTCCTTAGTCACCTTCTAAAAACTCTATTTTCTTTTTCATTTCCAATTAATTATTTTCCCTCTTTTTGGGCCACTTTAGATGTGAATTATGGGCCTAATGGGTTGGGGAATTTTTCAAAATTTTTCACTTCCCCGATTATCCTTAAATTACTCTAAGTACCAGTATAGTGTCGGATGAATTATTTCTATATCTTGTCAACGTTACTATCTCAAAAATTCATCTTAGTGCACCATTAGCCTTTTCTTACTGTAGGAAAGTTTCATGATTTTTCTCAGAATTTAATTCCCTCAAAAATTCTCTAAATTCTATTTTTTCCAAAATCAGCTCTTTATCAACAATAATTATGCTTTAAATATTATTAAAGCTAATCTCCTCATCAATTAAAGTCCAGAATAATTTTACAAATTATTATAATCCTCCAAGGTATTTTTTGATATTTTTTCCAGAATTATTGATGCCTCTAAATATTTCTCATAATTAACTTTTGGTTACTCTTACTTGGTGTAACCAAAATTCCTGTAAATATAGAAAATTCTATATTTATTTATTTTCCTTCCAATAATTTTGCTAGGCCTCAAATACAATTTTCTGACCCGTATTTCTATTTTTTATTATTTTTTGAGAATTTTTAACTTGAATTCTCAATTAAATCTTTCTTTAACTGGTATTTAAAATGTCAGTCTAGCCTTTATCTAGATTTCAAAATTCAATCTAGTACTGGCTATAATTCCCTCTACCTTAATTGGCCCTTAATCTATTTAATTTCCTTATATCAGGGTTAAGATTTTTAGGATGTTACATGATACATCCACATTCATTACATAATTACATGAAAGATGCTTGAAAGGTTCAAAGTCATATAAAAATATGACATAATACATGCTTCTTCAATCTAAGGCTACCTCCTTTCCTTTTCCCCTAGTACTTCCAACTCCTAGATAGGGAAAAGTTTGGACATAATAGGGGTGAGATTTTAGGAAAAATCTTAGTAGCAAAGGACTATAATAATAATGTCAATGATGCAAAGTAGGTTAGCTACGTTTCTAGATATCAACATGCTTTCTTGCAATAAACAAGCAAAGTAATATGCCATAAGTAACTTAACAATGGCATAGCAAAGACATAAAAAGCATGGAGTTCAATATATTTCAAAATAGCAAGCTATATCACATCATGGCATTAAAACAAATAGCAAACAAACAATGCAAAGTTAACATCAAAATTGGAAGTTCTAGCTACCTCTTTTTGAGTTTGTCCTCTTACCTCTCAACTCTTTCTCTTGGCACTCTTCTTGCGCTTGCTCAATGCCTATTAATCATGCACCAAGGCATCCTATATTACTACACAATTCAACATTAAACACTTCCTAGTATCCTTAACCCTTTTTCTTGATTTTCTTGGGTCACTGTTTCTCCTTTGTTTTACTAGCTTCTTTAGATTTTTCTTATACAATTTTCCATGTAGAATTCATGTATCAAGTTAGTTTCATCAAAATCCATCTCCTTCCCTATGATCCCATGTTGGCCAAATAAGATAGGGTTTAGATTTAAAATTCCATTTTCAATTTTTAATACTTCCAAAGACATATTCTCAACTTAATCCTATATACTTTCATCTCATAAACTCATTGAAAGCATCAAATCAACTTGAATCAAACCCTAGCCCATTCTTTTCCTTGGCCGAGTGGTGTACACGGTTTAGGGTCTTGGAATTCTTCCTTAATTCATGTATAATCATGCATTTCCAATCAGTCTTTAACGTCTAATCCTTAATCCTCTCTAATTATGCTTAGTAAACTATATAGTGATTAAGGTAGCATAATCTTCTAGTTTAAATCACTTAACCTCATCAAGATTGAATCCCAACCATTCATTAATCAAGGTAATCAATTCAAATTAATGTAATTAAGCTCTTAATGAAAGTTTAAACATACCTTGATTAAGTACCCAAGCTTGGATAATCACCTCTTGCTTTTCTCTTGCCTCTTTCCTACTTTCTCTCTCCTAGAATCCAAGAGCAACAATCCCTCTCTAAGGTCCCTATGTTGGCTAAATTATGAAGGGGAGGGAGAGGTATTTATAGTGCTCCCATTAATTCTTAACCCTTGAAGTTTCATGGAATTACAAGGGTTAGGTGGCTAAATCTCAACCTTTTATTTTTCTCTGCATAGCACATGGACAAATCTTAAGCTAGGAGGCTTGTGATCTTGCCATATAAGAGGGTGATGTCATGGTGCATATGTCATGAGGTTATGTCATCCAAGATTAATTAGTTTGATCCTTGATTAACCTCCTTAATCACCTTGATTAATCACCTTTTAGAAGCTTTATTTCTATTTTATTTTCTTTAAT